AAAGTTTTTAACTTCTACAAGCAATCCCAAGGTATTCTTTGGCTGAGTTACAGGATCTCTGGGTAGAAGGAAAGCAGTTGTCTCTGTGGGGTGTCAGGGACAGAGACGCTCGGAAGGAGGGAGATGAGACCGTGGAGAGAGTCCCACACCGTGTGTGCAGCCTCTGCAGGGCGGCTTGGGCCTCATCACACGCGTCCGTGTAAACATGCTGCAGCCAAGAGCTTAGGAGGAGCCGGGCCTCACGGTTTGCAGAGCTGATATCTGGGCTCGCTGGTGACACAGGAGTGTTCCTGCTTCCCGGCAACCTGAGGGGGAAAGTGGAGCAGGCCTCCCTATTGCACACGGTTTGGAGATTCCCAGTGGAATCACAGCTGAGAGTCCACCACTTCCTGCTGTTCTAAGACTCCCCGTGTGCAGGGGCTCCTCCTCGTTTCCACTCTGAACTTAGGGGACAAACACTGCGGAGATCTGTGTGCACACAAGGCCGCAGAGGTTCATCGTCGCCCAGAGTCGCGGAGCTCGTAGGCAGTGGGGCCGCCAGCCTATGCAAGCACACTCAGGAGCGCCTGCTCCGCTCTCCGCAGCCCTTCCTCCCCAGGGCTTGGAAAGCAGCCCCAGGTTTCTGCCCATTTACTGACGCGACTTCCTTGTTCAGCAAACCTTTCCCGTCACATAAAGCAGACATGGGACCGTCAGGAAGTTCCAAAGAGAGACGCTTTCACCGTTTGTGTGGAAAGTATGCATTTGAACATTATCTGCAGACTCATTGTACTTCTAGACCTATGATTTACTTTTAAAATATCAGCTTGAGCTGGGTATGGTGTGCACACCTGTAATCCCAGCAGTCTGGGAAGCTGAGGCAGGAGAATTGCAAGTCTGAGCTCAGCCTGGGGAACTTAGTGACTTAGTGAGATCCCAGACTTTTAAGAAAAGAAAGGGTTGGGGATGTAGTTCGCTGAGTCCTCAGTACCACACACATACACATGCATGCGCGTGTGCACACACACACACACACACAACGGACTTGGCCAGTGGAATGTGGACTGGCTGTGTAAATCCACTTTGACCTATGGCCTGGGTGACACTGACTAGCAACAGCCGTGCCCTAACCAGGTGCTATGGAGACACTTAGTGTGAAGAGCCCAATCAAGAACCTACAGCACAGCGGTGTCTATATCCCATTAGCATTCCAAACGCCACTCTCTGAGGAAACGGCCAGGGTGGTGGAGTGTTAAAAATAGCACAAGAGGAAGCATGCAGCCTCCTTTCTCTGGTAGGAAGATGGTGAGCTGCACTTCTCCATCTGCCCCTCACAGCCCAAGACTGCATGTCTCTGTAGATGCTTCCCCCAACTCCTCTGCCTCCGTGAATACTTGAAATTAGAAGGCATAAAATGTCAGTAACTAAGATTTATCTATCTGACCTTTCACTGGAGTGGAAAACCATGAAGTCACTGGTGCTGATGCTAGAAGGTGTTTTTAAGTTGGCTGTGGTGCAGACCCATAATCTGGGAGGCTGAGACAGGAGGATTGTAAGTTTGAGCCCTGCCTGGGCAATTTAGTGACTTAGTAAGACCTTAAGTCAAACCTGTCTCAAAATAGAAGTAGATAGGGTCAGGCAGGGAGCTCAGTGTGAAGACTCGGGTTCTGTTCCTAGCAGTGGGGAAGAAAAGGTGCTTTGAGAAGCTGCATAGAGACTGCAGAGTAGGCCTGGCCCTCACTGGCTCTGCAGCGTCGCGATAAACATTTGACCATGGGCAGCGCTGTGCAGCAAAGGGCTAAGCACCCACTGTCAGGCTTGGTCCTCAGAGAGAGGCGGCGGTTGGCGTGGGGGATGGAGATGAGCTCCAGGGCAGTTGGACACGGGCCAGGGGCTTCACAGGGCCTGGGAGGTCACAGGCTGTGGGTCCAGCAGAGGTGGCAGTCAGGAGTGGCAAGCAGTGGCTGTAAGTTTCCGACTAGTTAAAGTTCAGAGTCGGAACCTGCATTAGTCACTCTCCTGCCACTGGTACAAAACACCTGGTGCCCACAGTGTAGAGGAGGAGAAGCTCATCTTGGCCCACGGTTTGTAGGGGTTCACTAACCATGGCCGGCAGCTCCAAGGCAGAATGGCAGGGGGAAGGGGTGGTGGAGGAAGCTGCTCTCCCCCTGCATCCAGGAAGCAGAGGGAAGGGAAGAGCCTGGGACGAGGATGCACCCTTCCCAGTCACGCATCAGTGACCACCTCCAATCAGGTCCCAGCAGCCCGTAGCACATTCAGCCATGAAATCATCTGCAGGGGGCACTGGAGATCAAAGCCATGACAAACGTCACCCATCCCAGGCCAGACTGTAAGCAAACTGCAGAAACACCCTTCCGGGCACTCTTTCAACTTTGTCCTCCCAGCTGGATGGTCCCAGGCTCTGTGTAAGTGGCATCTCAGGTTCACTGACAGCCCTCCCATCCCCCTTCCAGGTGAACTGAGGCCTTCTACAGACCCAGGAAGAGAGGTTGCTCTCAGTACCCTAGTCCGTCTAACCTTCCAAAGGCCTGGTCATTCCACGACAGCAGCCTGGGCCTGAATAACTTTCATTTGTGCTGGAAGTGGAACCCAGCCAGGGCCTCATGTTGAGCTACAAGCCCAGCCTCCCTTTTTAAAATCATTCATTTTGAGATAGGGTCTTGCTAAATCACCAGTTACCCAGGCTGGGTTCAAACCTGTGATCCTCCTGCCTCAGCCTCCCAGATGCCTGGGATTACAGATGCGCACCATTATGCCTGGCTGTTGTACTGGTTTTGGATGGTGCACATGCTGCTTCACAAACGGAGGGCTCCTTGCGCAGTGGGAACATTTAGCGTCTTGGAGTCTTATTATTAGAAAACTGTGGGCCAAAATTTCTGCACTGCCCTGCCCTTCCTCATGCAAAGGATGATAAGGATAAAAACAAGTTAACAATATTTCACACACAAAAGCAGCAACTAGAAAATTTACCAGCCCTGTAACCATGGCAACAAAGAACCTTTCTGAAAAATTTGGAGAATTACGATTGATTCTTTGCCTGTATACCTACTTCTTTGTGAAATTATTATCAAGTCTTGCACGAAAGAGCAAATTCTTTTCAGAACCCTCCTTCAGGATCTTCAAAACACTTGAGGAACCTCTTATTGTCACAGATAACCAACTTCAAGAAAACTTCAAGCTGTTGTAACAGCCTATCATGATGTCTTTATTTTTATATTAAAGTCAAAATTCTATAGAACTCCATGATATTTGTCCAGAAGAGAATAGATACGCAGTTTGCCTATCAAAACCAGTCTCTGGTCATCCTGAACTGTGGACTCTCTTGAGGGCATAGCAACATTGACAGCACTCAGCTCCCACCAATCTTGAGCCCGCTGTTCTGCCTGCACGACTGCTTCAGTGAACTGTGGGAGCATTTCCCACACTGAACGTGGGCTTCTCAGCCCAAGGAATGGAGATACTTTCGGCTCCCGTGTTTCCTACCTCATCTCCCTGTCTCCACTATTCTGCAACACTCAATATTTTTCTGAGATCCTTTTTGGGAAACCAAGCAAATCAATACTTCATTTTGCTGTGGGGGTTCTGACAGAGGACAGCAGCTGCTTCACACCTATGTGGCTTAGCCTCTTCTCCACACTGTGGCTCTAAGCAAGTCAGGCAACTGCAAATGCTTTGAGAACATGTTTTTCCCCAGTTACTGCCAGCAACCCCTTTAAAGGTGGGGTCTAGGATAAAACCATTAAGTCACCTCCTAGGCAAAAGCTAAACTTTCCCATTATGAAAAGAAGAAGCAAGATCCCCCAGGGCCCCTGGGCTCCTAACTTCAGGACTCTAAGCGTCAGCATATGGAACCTTCCTGGGAACAACACTAAGTAGATTAAGCAGCCACATCAATGCTGATTTAAAATATTTGGGGCTCTGTTATCATAGCTACACAGTGTCTTATAATGTAAATGGTTTGAAGAAAAAAAATCCCTTTCAACGGATTTGCTAAAGCAAAGGCTTAATGTGAATGGCAAAGCAATGAGTTTTTTTTTATTTCATTAAGAAGATGCTGAAAAAGATGTTTTCAATCTCCTGGTTATGGATTTTTTAAGGAGATTAGCTGCAGAGCAAGCTGAGGCTCTGCGGCCGGGACTCAGGGCCATTCTCTTTGTGGCCCTGGAGGTGCCTAACAGGCACAGCCTCCTGGAGTCTCGGGCACACAGTTTCCACGTGGGCTGGGAGGGCACCTGGGAAATGCTGTCTGGACACCTGTGTGGCTATCCTTCCACTGCAGTACAAATAGCAGTGACAAAAGGTTACAGGAATAGTGACCACGTTTATGATGACTACAGCAGTGACTTTTTGTTATTATGAGAAACAACATCTGTGATCCCCATGAGCTGGCCACTTCCCGGCAAGTGTGAAGCGCACCCTGCCTGTGATCTCACTGATCACGGGGCACGATGCGCCCAGGCCGGGGCCTCACCCTCAGACTCGCAGGTTGGGTTGCTGGTGAGGAAGGCACTTGCGGAGTCCTGGGGCCGGGCTGTCTCTGCTGCCTGGGTCCCTGCGGCCCTACAGCCTTTCTGTAACCACCTGGCACCCTGCGCACACAAGGTTCCCCCTGCCACCCAGACACTGAGCCCCACGGACGTGGGAGAAAGGAGCTGTTCACACATTTCAGATGCCAGGGGCACACAGAACCCAGTTTGCTAGTTGTTTCTGGAAATAAGGATTTTTGTTTTTTTCCAAGGCAGCATTTACAGGGTCTTTGCTCCAGGGTCTTCACTCTACAGTCTACTTGCCCTGCAGAGAACTGAGGGGCTCAGTGATGCGCCCCCTCCCCCCCATGGAGGTGCTCTGAAGATCCAATAGAGTCTTCTCAACTTGGCTGAACCTCAAGAAGCCCGAGTGTAGTTCATAGTCAAAATCAAAGAGACAGCCCAAGCCCCAGCCTGGTGATACTCACAGCACCCGCAGGTGCCCCTCCAGCCCTGCGGGGCCACAAGCCCTACCTTCGTACAGCCAGTCGCTGAGGCCATTGTAGATGACGCCTTCCTTCCCTGTGGAGACCACACGGATGGCCTGCCTTCCCACATGTGCGCAGTAGTAGATGTTGTTCTCAAAGATGAAGATCTGATTCGGAAAGAAGGAAAACAGTGTTAACAGAGCAAGTGGGCGCAGACCAGGTGTTCTCAAAAGATCCGACGTCGTCAGGAGGTTTTCGTTCCCCTGCTGCAATTATTTGAGGGGGGACAAGCAGTCTCAGAACCACCACAGGTTCTCCCACCCGCAGCATCGTCTACGTTGAGGGATACGCAGGGGCTCAACCTTCACGAATTTCGCCCACGTTTATTATTTTCCAGGACTGAACAGTTTGTGGTCTGATGCTCTTGCTAGTCCAGCATCAGATAGGATCGAATAGTTTAGCAATTTCAGTTTTTCCTGGAGATTAAGATTGGTGGGCTGGGAATGCAGAGATGGTTCTGGTGACTTCGCATCCGGTACACACTCACAGTACACGTGTGTGACAGCTGTGCAGCTGAGGGAAAGGTGGGGATGGTCATGTGTCGCATGACCTAACTGCCCGGTAAGAGGTCAGGTTTGACACACGGTTTGGCCTCTTCTGAGATTGAAAGATATGTTTCCTGACCATTTTAGCTGTATGTAAGTGCACAGCCCCAAGGCACAGAGTACATTTACACTGTGACACAACCAACCTATTGTCCGTCTCCAGAATTGTCCATTGCCCCAAACCAAAGCTCTGTCCCACTAAACATAGACTCCCCAGCCCCGGCACCCTGCTTCCTGTCCCTGTGAATCATCTGTCTTGCTTAGATCCTCTTTCCTGAGTGTCCCTATAGACGGGACAAAATGTGTGGTGACTGCTGCTGCCAGGTGCCATCCCGTGGTAAAGCAGGCTTATGAAAACATGGTGCTGTGTCCTTATTTGCCAGACCTGGCACCATGTGACTCCTGGCACCATGTGACTTCTGGTTTTTCCCCAGAGTCAAAATGACCATGAAGGGGAAATGCTTTTAATTTATTCATGATATTGAGGCAGTTAGGACAGCACAGCTAAAGACACAAAAGAGGACTTTTGGAGCTGCTGCAGAAAGTGGCTAGAATGATGGGAAGAGTGTGTGTGAAGCAGGGAGAGCATTTTGCCGGGGATTCATGGTCATGTTTTCTTCCCGTAATAAATTATTTTGAAGATTTAAACATTCACTGTACTTTTTAATCACGTCTATGTGTTCTGAAGCTCTTCTGTTGGGATGGAATCCATGCACTCTCTGTGGCCCCGGTCAGCCGTGCCCTGTCTTTTCTGTCTGTATCTGATAGGTCCTTTCTGGTGGGGTTTGGCCCAGGCTCTGCAAACAACTAATGTCGGTGGAAATTGAATCATACATACCAAAAATCCATTTCAGTTTTTGAAAGGAATTCCAGAAAAAACATTGTTAGTGTCACTGAAGAGACTATTGAGAGAAGGTATTTTGTGCAATACAGAAAATGGCATAAATATTGAGTGTTTTATACTGAAAACAGTAAAAGGCAGTTTCCTCAGATTTTTCTCATGGAAGGATGGTGCTGAAAGCCTTATCAATTATTAGTTTTCTGTTCAGGTTGCCTGGCTTGTAAAGTACTCACTTCACCCAGAAATGACTTGGAAAACTTCCAGAAGCAGGTATATATGTCCTCATTTAATTTCTTATTCAGTTCTTATGTGCTTGCCTAAGGGTAAGCTGTATGCCTATGTTTTAGCTTCTTTTATGCGTTCTAAGCCTGCAGAGGATTTTTGAACCAAAGAAGGCTGTAGCCACTTAATATTTTGAGTAAGTAAAATTTGCAGTGATAGATATTAAATCCGTCTCTGCCTTGGCTTTGTTTTGGATGGCAGGGAAAGGGGAGAACATGGTATGAGGAGAGGGTGGGCTTTGAAGACGTCTCTCACTTTCTCTGTGTTCAGATTAAGGGGGCTGCGTAAAAGATGGTGCTGTCTGTTCCGAAAGGCTGGGCACTGGGAGATGCCGGGGCGCAGTCAGAAACTGCAGCGCAGACCAGGTGTTCAGCCTCCCCACGGTGTGCACCTCTGTGCACAGTTGGAGAAAGGGTCCAGCCTGGGAGCTTCTGAGGAGCTGGGCTCTGTGGATCTGGGAGCCTTTCCTGATGAGATGGTGACCTCTGGATGTCCTCACTTCTCAGCCCAGCTGAGCCTGACCTTGTTGCAGTGGACAGGAGGGGCCAGCACTGGAGCTTGAGCCTTGATTCTCAGATTCATGGCATCTTGCTTCTCGGGTAGAGGCTCATTAACAAAGGAAACATATGACTTCTAACTAGAAATGCACCAGGGACAGCGCCACACCTCTATGAGACACAGCGCTGCTCCTCATGTCTGCAAGGCTATGTCTTCCTCACTCAGAAGGAAGCAGACCCAAACAGAAGAACACGTGTGAGCACCATCATGTTGTGGTGAGAACACCCCAGGCAGGTCCTCCTGTCCTCTTATCAGGTTTACTGGGGGCCTGGCAGCTCACAACCCTGATCTACGCTGGCCCTGGGTGCCATGCAGCTGCAGGTGCAGCCTGGCTCTGTTCCGGCCCCACCTGGCCTCCCTGGCACCAGCTGAGAGTTCTGTGGCCCTGATGCAGCTGCTGAGGCCACAGTTTGGGCGGGACCACATCCCCCTCTGCTACCTGGCCTCACTCCTTCCCCCAGAAGGCTTCTCAGTCTCCACCCAGGTTTCCCAGCAACAATCTGAGGTGTGCAAGCACAGGAAGGCAGTCTCAAAGTGTGCTCTGCGTCTTCAGGGTCATCCTGAACACTCCCAGTGTGCCTGGGGTCCCAGGCTTTTCCAGCATGACAGAAGACACCACAGGCACCGCCTCCACGTCCCTGTCCAGTGTTCCCACCCAGAAGCTCTGCCTCCTGGCTCCTCCTTGTCCTGGCACCCGGTCCACTTCCTCCTTGACCCCCTCCTCTGTCTCCTGTCCAGAGTGCTGTGTCCCTGCTGTCCACCCTCTGAGGCCCTGCCCAGCTGCCCACTGTGCCTGCACATGGACCTCCCTTGGCAATGGCTCCCACCCCACAGGTGGCACTGTTGGAGCAAATGTAGGAAGCTGTAGGGGGAAAGAAGGGGCTGGAAGTGGGGAGGGTGACACTAGCACCCTGCCAGAAGCCTCCAGGTCAGCCAAGTGACATTCACGTGAGGATCTGGTAATGTCTGTTCAGAGGTGACCCAGACCTTGGCCAGCTGGCAGGTGGGCAGAAGGTGATGGGCAGTGAAGCTGCACCCATGGGCCCAGGGCAGATGGGGGAGCCACATGCTGGGGTCCCCAGTCCCACATAGAGCTCTGGCTGCTGCTCTCTGGGAGCAGATGAGGAGCTCTATCCCTTTGGGTGTCCTTGAAGACCTAGGCCGCTGACCTCATGTGTTAAGGACCCTCTAGCTCCTGGCCATGAGGCATCCCCATTTATACTAGCTGGTCTTTCTCTTAATAAAAACTTGTTTTCTTTGTTTTTAATTTTAAGAGACACATACATAGTCATTTACTCCGCGGGTTCATTTCATCTTGTCTCCTGTCTGGATTTCATATCTGACGAGAGCAAGGCTATCTGTCAGATTTCTTCTGATCTCTAGCTCCTTCCCTTGGCCCCTGAGGTCACCTTACCCCTGGGCATAAGAAGCCACACATTAGCAGTTTTGATGGAGGAAATGCACTGCTTCATGAGAGCTGGGGGAGGGGAGACTGCCTGGCATCCTGCCCAGCGAAGTCAGTGTGGAGCCCCACGTTGAGGTGGTACCTCAGTGCTCCAGAGAGGCTGGGTGCAGCCCGCACCACTCTAGACAGGTCTGATCACGAGAAACAACCCAGGCAGTTCCTGCAACACTGGCTCTGGGAAGTCTTGGCTTTCAGCTAGAAAAGCAAGAGGGAGGCAGTGGGAGAAGACACCCTCCTGAGGTGCAGCCCCAAAGAAAGCTTTGGAAGGGAGAATGTCTGGCATTTTGGAGCAATGGATGGGACAGACCTGGGAAGTCCAGAGACATCAGAACAGAGCAGGTGTTATGGTTTTTGTCTGGGTGTTCCCCAAAGGTACATGCAGTCATGGGGCGGGCTTTTGGAGTTTATGATTGATCCATGGGTGTGAGCGCTACACCCGCCCTGGGGTGGGTAGCTTGCTTATAAGAGAGAGAGAGAGGCTTGCTTGCCACCTCTCCTCCTTTTTGCTCTTGTTGCTTTTGCTGTCTTCTGCCGCCATGAACTGTTGCCCTCTGCCATGTGCCACTCTGCCTTGGAGCCAGCCAAGTATGGACTGAAACCTCCACAAACTGTGAGCTAA